ATCGTTTACGCGGACTTGGAGTGCGTACTACGGCGAACGGAACCGGCAGAGAAAGAAAACGCATCGTACATTTATCAGCAGCACGAGGTATTTAGCATCGGATACTACGTGCGATGCTCGTACGACGACGCGTTATCGGTATATCGATTTCGTCGCGGCGAAAACTGCGTTGCGTGGTTCGTTCGGCAACTCGAAGACTTGGCGTATCAAGTAAAAATTCTGTTATCCGCGAATGTCCCCATGGAAACGTTGTCGAGAGAGCAGTGGGAGGCATATCGTAGCGCGACGCGTTGTCACATTTGCGAGAAATCATTTGTGTCGGACGACACGCGGATACGCGATCATTGCCATTTTACCGGTCGTTACCGTGGTCTCGCGCACTCAAATTGTAATCTAAATTATAAAGATTCATATTGCATTCCTATAGTATGTCACAACTTATCCGGTTATGACGCGCACTTTATCATCACGGAAATAGCTACGGCGTTCGAAGGCAGGATCGACGTGCTGCCGATAACAAAAGAAAAATATATTTCGTTTACAAAACATGTTAAAGATACCACCGAGAGATCAGATTCACGAAATTGCGTACGCTTGCGGTTCATAGATTCGTACAAATTTTTAAATACCAGCCTTGATAAATTAGCATCTTTTTTAACAAAAGAAAAATTAAAAATTTTACACGATACGAATTTTCCACGATATCAAACGAAAATTTGGATTTGTTGACGCGCAAAGGTGTCTTTCCGTACGAATACATGGACAAGCTGCAGGACACGCACCTACCACCGCGCGAATTGTTCTATAGCTCGTTGACCGGTGACACGGTGTCGGAGAACGATTACGCGCACACCGCGAACATCTGGCAGCGATTCTCCATCCGAATAAAAAACCGAAACGCTCGGCGAATACAGCGATCTATATCTCAAGATGTCTTGATATTGGCCGATGTTTTCGAAAATTTCCGCGAAAGTTGAGTCGCGAGTTATGGACTCGATCCCACGCATTACTACACATTGCCAGGTTTCACGTGGGACGCTAAGTTGAAACATACGCGCGTAAAATTTGAGTTGCTCACCGACATCGATATGATTATGTTTATCGAACGCGGTATACGCGGCGGTCTCAGTCAATGTTCCGGCAGATACGCGCAAACCAATAACAAGTACATGCGTTCGTACGACTCGTCGAAACCGTCATCATACCTTATGTACTTTGACGTAAATAATCTGTACGGATGGGCGCTGTGTCAACCGTTGCTCTATGCCGAACTTCGATGGATGGAAGACATTGAGAACTTTGATGCGAGCGCGATTGCTCCGGATTCGTCTACGGGTTATATTCTCGAGGTCGATCTCGAGTATCCGCATTATTTGCACGATTGACACACTGACCTACCTTTCTGTCCGACGCGCGATAAACCACCCGGCACGCGGCAGGATAAACTTCTCGCGACGTTATACGATAAGAAGCGGTACGTCATCCATTATCGCAACTTGCAGCAATGTACGCGCCATGGTCTTCGTATCGCAAAGATATATCGCGTACTAGAATTTGCTCAATCCGCGATTACATCGAACTCAATACACACTTTAGAACATACGAAAAACGATTTCGAAAAAAATTTGTACAAATTAATGAACAACGCGGTATTCGATAAAACAATGGAAAATGTGCGCAATCACATCGACGTTAAACTTTTGACCAAATGGGACGGACGGTATGGCGCGGAGGCAATGATCGCGAAACCAAATTTCCACAGCCGCAGCGTCTTTGCGGAAAACTTAATCGCCGTCGAATTGCGTAAACTCGAGGTAAAATTCAACAAGCCGATTTACGTGAGTATGTGTATACTCGACATATCAAAAATCTGCTTGTACGAATTTCACTACGAATACATGTCACCGCTGTATCGCGAGAAATGTAAGATCATGTACACCGACACGGACAGTCTCGTATACCACATCGAGTGCGATGATGTGTACGAGACGATGAAACGCGATATCGCTAGATCCGATACGAGCGATTATCCGACAGACAACGCGTACGGGATGCCTCTCGCGAATAAAAAAGTACCCGGTCTAATGAAGGATGAGAATAACGGTGCGATAATGACGGAATTCGTCGGACTCAGAGCGAAGATGTACGCGGTAAGGGCAGAAAAGACATTAAAAAGGTGAAAGGTGTAAAGAATAATGTCGTAACGCGAACAATAACGTTCGACGATTATACGCGGTGCTTGAACGAAGAGATCGAAATGACTCGTCGCCAGTCGTGTATAAGATCCAAGCTACACCAAGTATACACGGTGTCCGAGTCGAAAATCGCTCTGAGTCCGTACGACGACAAACGATACATTGTATCGGATTCGACGGAGACGTTACCGTGGGAACATTGGCGGATTCCATTGTAATATATATATATATATATATATATATATATATATATATATATATATATATATATATATATATATATATTATTATTTATTTATTATTATTATTAGTTA